TGCCTTTCTGCCGCCTCCTCTGTTCCCGGGGACCGAGGGCGATGGACGCCGGCTGCCTGCGGGCCCGCAGCCTGCTGCTCTTCCTCGGTAAGCGGAGAGGTGCCCGTTCCCGCGGGCGGGGCTGGGAGGGCATCGGGCATCGGGCGCTGCGCTCTGGGACGGGCGTTCTCAAGCTACTGGGAAATCTGTGTCAAAGCGTTAAGTTCAGGCTGCCTTTAGGTGAAGCTGATGTGTTTCTCTCCGAGGTGAAGTCACAGGTAGTGACAGGTGTACGGGGGAGGTTGTGTGAGTTGAGGAGCAGATCACACACTCCATGGTGTGTTGTTATGGGATGTTTTGTTGCTTGGGCGATGCCTGGATGTGCTCTGGGACTGAGTGAAGGAGAATGTTCTTTCCCTTTCTCCCCAGCTCTTCTCCTAGTGCTGTCAGTTCTCTTTGACCTTGTCCTGTCCTGTTTATAGCTTGGTCCTGCTGCCTTCACCCAGGCCATGCTCTGAGTGAGCTCAGCGGGTGAGTCCCCACAGGAGCAGAGACTTCCTTATGGTAACAAAACAAGTCGTGGCCTCCCTCTGCTTGACACTTCTCCACCTCCTCACCGGGAGCGTGTAATTCTATTGTATGACATAAGCTACCTGAAAGTCCAAAGTGAACACGTGTATCCTTAGAGCACCGAGAGTCCTGGGGCCTGGGTGTGCTGTGATGCAAGAGCTGATCCTTGTCACACACCTCCACAGGGCGCTGGCAGTGACAGGCAGTGACTGCTGGGAGCTGACCCTGTCGGGCACTTGAGCCGTGTGGGCAGTGAAGGTCTGAGGCAGGACCGAGGGCTGGCACACTCACACCTTGCTCTACGGACAGAGCATATTCTCACATCCGTGGTGTTGGGGCCGAGGTCATAGTCAATGGAGAGACTCAGTTCCAAGACTTCTCTTTTGAGACAGATGTTTCCCTCACCTGCTAAGCCCACTGCAGCATGAGTTTGGGTCTTGGATCTTGGCCAGCTGTTTCCATAACAGCTGATGGATCAGCTGCACAGCATCTCACTTGCCAGGACAGCAGGCTAAACATCTTATAGTCTGTGACTCAGCCATGCTTTGCACAAAACTGTCACTGGAAGGAACTGGTGTGTCCTCATGGATCTGTATACGGATTTATTTGTTTCCGGGGCAGGCACAGTATCTAATAGTAAAGGATAGATTAGTCATAGCTAGGTGGCATCATAACAAGTAGTGCCTTCCCCTCCCAGGGCAGGAGTGTAAGCAGAACACGGTGCTCCTGGGAAGGCTGGCTGTTGCTGGTGTTATGCCAGACTGGAAGAGGTTCCCTGCTGAGTGGCTGAAGCCTGTAACTGAAGTGACAGCCATGTCAGGTTTGTATCCTGGCTCTCGTGGGCTTGGTGACTGTGCAGCAGAAAGGCAGCGGTGGCAGAGAGCTGTCGCTCACTCCTGAGCAGCCACGGTGCCGTGCCACCCGCGTGCTCACGTGGTGGTGATGGAGCCAAGCCCAGGCTCTGCCTTTTCTGGGAGTTGCTGCCGGAACCTTGGCACTGGTCTCCTTGTGGTCCCTGTAATGCTCGCTCAGACCTCAGATCTCCAGACCCACCTTACGTTTTCCTGTGTCACGTGTGCCTGGCCGTCAGCAAGTGGGCTGAACATAAAGGTTGCTGAGTCTGGAGATGGAGAAAGTGTTAGGGGCTGATGTGCCTGGCTGGAAGCAATAATGGGTTTCTGTTTCTTTGGCGTAGGGATCTCAGCCCCCATGCGGGTGGTGAAAGGAGAGTGGCTGAGGCACAGGGGCAGTATGTGAGTAAGATGACTGGTGTGTAGGTCTCCACAGGGGTGGAAGCAGTACCGGGATGACTGGGTGCACATAATGCATAATTATCTGCATTATCTCTGCTTAAGGGCAAGTCCTGGCACAGTTGAAGATGATCGTGTGGGCCTGTAACAATTTTGGAGCAGTAGTCTTCCCATGACAGACTGGTGTTTCCAGGGCTGCCTTAGAGCTGCTGTGGCCAGGCCCGGGCATCCATGGCTGTGAGTCTGCAGTTCTGCAGTTAGACAGTGGTAGTAGGGATGCTCACAAAGCCAGTGGGACACACTGGCTAACGTCCATTTTTCCTGCTTAGTCTACACAAAGAAGGCCTTAGACAGTCAGACATGCTCTGGATGTCCAAAATTCGGTGATGGGGATACACTCTGCAGTTAAAATGGGCTGAGATCCTTCAGGTGTGTGTCACCTGGATACCTCTGCACTTGGAATTGCTTTGGAAGTGCAACTCATTGAAGAGTGTAGGTGCTACCGCTGCGGCAGAGACCACAGAGATGCCAAATGTGAAGTAGCATCATGGGCTCTTCTTCAGGTGAACTAGTACAAGACTGGCAACCCTGGTGACAGGCAAAGCCAGCTGAAGTGGTGAATGACCTCTCAGAAACTTGACAGTTCCCCTCAAAAATGGGTATAAATCTTGCAGAGTAGTTAGTGTATCTCCCATGTGCATCCTTCATTTTTAGCAGTCATCCTGCCACTGGAAACTACAGCTGGCTTTCAGTGGATAAACTCACAGCTGGCCCTTGCAGGGCATCTCTGATGGAGGCTGCAGGAAGCAAAGGCAGTTGGTCTCTGTCCCCCATTTTCTTTTTCCCTTGTGGAAGGACAAGCAGGCAGCATCATTGTTCCTGTTCCAGTAAGTGCTGTCAGTGTTAGCCTTGTGGGAATACCTGGGATGTTGGATGCCAGTGATGTAGCAATCCGTGTAGCACTCACGTTCCTGCAAGGCACACGTGAAAATCCACCACCTCATTACTGTTATCTTGTGCCCTGTATTTGCTTAATGAACAGCAAAGGAATAGAAATATAACCTCTCCCAGGTGCTGTGTTTGATATACATCACTTGATAAATATCCCGGGAAAGGCTCTCCTTTGCCACTGCTGTGTGCGGATCCCTTATCCTCCCAGTGATGTCAGAGGAGAAATATGTGCATGGGGGAAAGGGCAAAACAGAGCAGTGCAAAGCAGGAAGAACTTTGCCCAAAAGCAGCAAATACTGCTGGGTGTCAGCAAGTATCTACAGCTGTGCTCCAGCCTTTCCAGCCCTGCGTGCCTGCTTTCAGGTGGAGGAGGATGTCATTCACCGTGCATGGCTGGGATAGGGCAAACCTTTGGACAGTGTTGGAGGAGGAGGGTATTTTTAATTTGTCCTTCACAGGTGTCTGAGTTGTGACCTTTCCTCTAGCTGGAAAGTGAGGCTTCCGTCTGGAGCCGAGGGGGAGAGCTGACTTGTCTCTTCCATGGACCTGGGCTGGAGCTTCTCAAATGCAAAAGCTGGGTTCTGGTAACTCTCAAACTGGGAACTTCAGATGAAAAATCAGCTGCTCAGGTGATGCTCAGGTCCAGGGAGTATGCAAACTGACACAGAAATGTGGAGGCTAGAAGAGATCCTCAGCTGGCTTCATCGATCTGCTTAACAAGCGGGTGTCTTGGATACCTCTGGCATGTTTTGCCTTGACTCCTGCTCTTTACTGTTGTTACCTCTTTCTGTGACATGTATCCTTGTCACGGGACAGAGCTGTCCTGTGCCACAGCTCCTCCCTGCCAAAGGAGCAGCTTAGTCTGTCAAGCACTCCTGAAATGTCCCCCTAGTTCCTGGGAAGAAGGACTGACTTGGTAAATCTTCTTTTCCCAGCATCTTTGGGGACCCCAGGTCCGTGCTGGAGCTCAGTCTGCCATTCTGGCAGTAACTGAGCTGCCAGCATCTGTCAGCCGATGGCCTCTTCTTTCAAACTCTTGAACTTTCTGTTGTGGCAACTCAAACTGGCCTTACAGAAACGTTAAACTGCTGCCTCTGAGGAAATCTGCACTGAGCACAGCGCTGCTTTAAAAGAAAATCCCACCCTGAAAGTAAACTTGCACGTCCTGCCCTATTGGAGTGAAAGGCAGGTCCTGCTGAGTCACGCCGGCAGGCGCAGGAGTCTCCAGCTTGTGCAGCTGCCAGCATCAAGGATCTGATACCATGGCTATGGCCCTGGGTGGGGAGAGCCCCATCTAAAACTTGATGGAAACCTGGCTTCTTAGCTTTGCAAGGAATGGTGGTTTTAAAAACTCAAGCACGGGAAAAACCCCTGTCCCTCTTAGATATTCCTGCTGTCCTCGTATGTAGCTGGAATGAAGGATAAAGGAAGCCTACTGATCACCCAGAAATAGATGAGCTGCCGGAAATCCATAAATCACCACTACTAGATTTAACCCTGAGATGTAATGAAACTTTCTAATAACTGGAGTTGAATTAGAGCGATCAAGAAATTATGGAGGCACACTCCCTCCATTAGACATGCATGACCTGACAAGTTAATAGAGGCAAACAGCCCAAAGACACAAATTACAGACTTCCGTGGAATGGGGCTGATGACTAAGCAGTTCATGAGCAGGTTAATTTGTGACCACAGCAGGGATGTTAACCAAGTGGATTTCATGGCCAGCTGGGGCAGACATTCACTGTTCCTCATGGGCAGGCCATGATGCTTGGGAGTACTTGTGCTGGCCTTCAAATCCTGTTTGAAAATGTCCATTTAAAATGGAATTCCTGAAAGCTGTGCTTGTTTCTTCTGGGGTTCTGCTGAGATAAGTAACAGTGGCCCAGGGCCCAAAAAGGGTGGGTCTTAGTGCAGGAACTGTCCAGCCCTTCAGCTGCCTACAGCAAGGACAGAGCTGAGGGAGCTCTTTCATGGGAAAGAGCAGATTTTGAGTTAAGCCTGCTTCAAGCAGTTTGTGATCTCTGAAGCCAGTGGTGGGGTGTGCTGAGTCACCAGCTGCACTGACTTGCAGACTCCTCAGAAATTCTCTTCCTGTGGACTGCTGTGACTCAAGGATATCTTGATTTTTATCAGCGAAAGAACTGCTATGATGAATGCTGGATTGTTGTGCCTAATTGTGGAACTCTGGCTGTGTCCCTTGCACAGGTGCCGTGCCAGGCCAGTCAGAAACCTAACATAATCATCAAATGGCCCAATTCCTGCCCTCCTGCGTAATCTCTCCAAGCCTGTTCCTGCCCAGGTTCACTCAGCGTGTGGGTGAGAGGTGGTCACAGACACCAGGTTTCTATCTGATCTCTGTTCTGCATCAAAAGTTCGTATTTCGGAGATGTGTCTTTGGGCTGCCTTATATGCCTCACTCAGACCTGTATTTTGTCAGCTTACAACACTGGTTTTTTCCTACTAGGATAAAAAGTTTCTGTCCTTCTTATATTAATAAATGCAGCGGTTTAAATGCTTAACTCGAAATGCATCTAGTTTTGACTATTGTTTTTATTCTCTCACAGGTTACCTATTGCAGGCAGCCCTGGGCACAACAGTGATCCCGTTATGTGGACCTGGTGAAATGGAGAACTGCACCACAGCGCTCAGTAAGTACTGCACAGCTCTTCCTAACAACAGATCTCTGCTTCCCATCTTCCCTGGGCTGGCAGCCTCACTGAGGTGCCCTTGGAAATCACCTTTCTGCTAAGCAACATTGCCCACCTCCTGAGGTGCTAATGAAATCTCTTTGCAGTCCAGACAGAGAACAGCCCACGTGTGGCCCAAGTGGGGATAACGAGATGCAAGCCTGAAATGAAGGACTACTGCTTCCATGGGCAGTGCGTGTACATCGTGGACTTGGATGAGCACTACTGCAGGTGTGGACAGGGCCCTGTGTGTCCTGCACGTATCCCTGGGGTGGGCTTGGAGGTGAACTTGGATCTCACTGCTGCTGGCACTTAGCTGGAATACTCAGCCAGCCAAGTATTAAAGGCTCACAAGAACTTGAAGAGGAGCAGTACATCTATACTGCACCTCAGCTGCACTTAGGCAAGTGTTAAGCACATGTGCTGCCTCCGGTGAAACCTCTGTGTGTGAGAGTCTCAGGCACCAGAAATTAATCACCAACCCAACTCGGGACACTTGTTCTGATGTGCTTCCCTGTCCATCTGTATTTATAGTAGTGTGAGATCCAGATTTCAGGCACAGCACCAAGGGTCTCCCCTTTGATCCACCCTACAAAATAAAGACCTTTTTATGCCTAAAGGCATTTTTAAGGGTAATCCTTGTTTACCTGAAGAATTTGCAACCCTTTCTAGGACCATACATCGGTTCAAATGGCTTATCCCTGAGGAAACAGCAGGCCAGCATTTCAGCACAGGGTCCGTGCCGCAGTGGAGCCCCTCAGGCGTGTCTCTAGTTCCGTGTCTCTCATTCCCAGGTGTGACGTGGGGTTCTCTGGAGTGCGGTGTGTGCACTCGGAGCTGGTCCGGCAGCCCCTCAGCAAGGAGTACGTGGCACTGACGGTTATCGTGGTTCTGCTCTTCGTCGCCGCCATCTCCCTTGCAAGCTACTACATCTACAGGAGGTAAGACAGGTGTCCTCGGTGGCTCAGGAAGGTGAGCTGGCTGCAGGTGTTGCCAGGCACCCTCGGAGTACCTGTGGACAGCCTGGCACACCGCACTGCCTCAAGTGCACGGGTTCGGTTTGATGTACAGACCTGCTGGCCTGCACCAGAAGTGCTCAGGAAAGGAAGTGTGCTGACAGCGTGGCATAACCCAAATTGCAGGCCAGGCTGCAGCACTCCCAGGTGCCTTTTCACCCCAGCACAGGACTATGGAGCTTGTCTATATAAGGACTATGTAAACATGTCTGGCTTAGAGGGTGTGTTGAGGTCAAGGAGTGAGCAGAGAGGGAATAGGAAAGTTCTGGTTCTTTTATTGGTAGTGCCATTTCCCCAGTCATCAGGAAATGGAGAACAGCTGGATTACTACTTGCTAATTCGTTATCTGCCATGTTATTGCGGTGCCTGTGATACCATGAGCATTGCCTTGTCAGCTTTACCATGGGGGACAGTAGTCTTCTCCATGAACAGACCCACAAGCAGCAGGAATCATTCTCCAGGCTAAAAATTAACAGTAAGCAGTTGCCAGAGAGCTGAGGAGGTGGAACAACTCCGGAGGGAGAGCTCAGCTTCCCAGATCTGATAGCTAGATGGTAACCAGCAGGATTTCTCAAAGACAGACCTACTTACCCAGAGGAAGACTTTAAGGCAGATGTGGAATTTTCAGTGAAGAGCTGAGAAAGGAGACTGCACGCGAGTGATCTCAGACCTGGAAATGAGCACAGACAGAGCCCAGGAGCTAGAGATTTAAAGGAGGAGAGATTTAAAACAAACTTTAGAAGGTCATACAGCTTTTTTTTCCCTTCCTTCCTTCACTCCCCAAAAAGCCATTTGGAACAACCGTCTTCCCAAAACTCACATTTCTCTCCTCTGCTCCAGGTACCGAAACAAGAGGAGACAAACAAACGCCAGTGAATACAAGGAAGTTGGTGCCCTATAGGAGAAACGGTGACTTCCTGCAGTGTTCCGTTCATCTGGATGGACTCAGTGGCTTCCCACCTATTTAAATATTATTTTTATTAATAATATTTACTATATTTATAACCTTAAAAAAATTTCAATTGTTCGGTGATTCAATCTGTATAGGTCAAGCATTTTATTTGCAGTGTTTTATTTTTTTATTAAATAATATTTCCTAAAGGAAACCCCACCTAAGTGGTTCTGTGGGATAGAGATATATTTTTATAAAAACTCGTCTTCTTGCTCTGGAGAGAAGAATTTTATATTTATTCTTGTGAATATACTCAAAGCAATTGTATTCCTTGAAATAAAAGTTTAGACAAAGTCAAAATATCTGCTGCATTGAAAGGATGATGGGACAGTGGAGTCACCTCCAGCTGGTAGAAACTGGTTCCCCAGGGCTCAGTACTGGGGCCAGTCCTGGTTCATATCTTTGTCACCGCATCCTGTGTTCAGTTTTGGGCCCTAAAAGAAAGACATTCAGGCACTGGAGCATGTCCAGAGATAGGAACAGAGCTGAGGAAGTAGCTGGAGCACCGGGAGCAGCTGAGGGAGCTGGGGAGGCTCAGCGTGGGAAAAGGGAGGCTCAGGGAGGACCTTCTGGTTCTCTCTAACTCCCTGACAGGAGGATGGAGCCAGAGGGGGGTCAGGCTCTGCTCCCAGGGAACAAGGGACAGGACAAGAGGAAAAGGCCTCAAGTTGCACGAGGTGAGGTTCAGGTTGGACACTGGGAAAACTTCTTCCAGAAAGGGCTGTCCAGGCCTGGCACAGCTGCCCGGGGCAGTGGTGGAGTCACCACCCCTGGGGGGATTTAACAAACATGTAGATGTGGCACTTGGGGACATGGCTTAGTGGTGGCCTTGGCTGTGCTGGATTAATGCTTGGACTCAATGATCTTAGAGCAAAACTTGACGTGGCTTGACTGAGCAGGATCTTTGAAACCCCAGCAGTTATTTTTGGAGAGAGAAGCCACAGTATTGTTAATAATATATATCAATGCACCTTAGTTCCAACGAACAGCTTTTAGCTGGCATAATTGTAGGAAGTCTTAAAACACAGCTCCTAGTGCAGCCTATCCAATAGGTACTGCGTGACAGCAGCACAGATGCCAGGCCATACCCTCAGGAAGGTTGTGCTTGTTATGTTTTGGATTGCAGCAGGGACACAGCAGCACAAGTGGATCTGGGCAGCTGAACGCACTAACCTGTGGCTGCTCAGAGTGTGAGTGTAGCTACAGAAGGAAATCTGCCTCAGAACCAGGACACAAGTCCTCCCCACACTGTTTCTGCCACACTGTTCATCCTACAGGTGGGAGGAGAGCAAGGAAAGGTTTTGAGTTTGGGCATAATGCGGATATCTTGTTGGCCTGAAATATTGATAGAATAACCTGCTGGGTTCAGCTACACCCCATGTGTGGCTCCCAGTGAAGAGGAAGGATTCCTGCAGCACCTGAATCATCCTTGTTAATCCCATCACTTCTCACACTTTCAGAAGATGTGAGAAAAAGCCCAACCTTTACGTCATTCCCGGTCGGCCTGCATTGTTGGGAGTTTGTGGGTGTGAGAGCTGTGATCTCTTGACTTGTGCAACAGTGGGTTATCCTGTAGGGATTATGCTCACCATGCTGGATCTGTGCAGGTAGCCTGTGGCTACCTTCTGAGATAACTCAAACTCTCAGCACTGGCACTGCCACAGACCAGTCCTTGCCCAGCCCTCAGTGCGGAGCAGTCAATGGTTAAGATGGGTTTGGTTGGTACAAATTTTTCCCTAGTCTGCCTGGACCTTCGTGTCTCCCTTGAGCATCGAATTAGAAGGGGATCATTGGTCATTCCCAGTTAACTGGATTAACTCTGTGTCACAGGGCCCTTCCTAGCTGCTCTTCAGCTTTTCACTTCCTCTCTCCTTCTCCCATAATCCAGTTGGGACACAGGAACCTGTTCTGCTGGGTTACGGGTGACAGCTAATGGCAACCTCAGCCACAGCCTCATTGTTAGTGCAGCCTTTCCCAGTGGGAAGATGGGCCAAAAATCGATTCTTGGAGCCTCCTTCCATTCTTGCTATGACCCAGTTAGGATTTGTGGTGACAGATCTCTGTTTCCCCCTCAGGCTTCCCTACCAGTCTGTGAACTGCTCTGGCCGGTCCCTCTTCATCCTCCAGAAGCTTTTCCTGGGCTCCCAGAGAGACTCAGCCCAGAGGTCCGGTCCCCACGTGCTGCCCTATCTGCCTCTCCCCTTGGCAGGAGCATCCGAAAAGGGGAGTGGAGCTGAAGATGCACCTTTCTGCTGCAGCACTCGGGTCCCCGGGCCCCTTGCTGCTCTCGCAGAAGGTTTCAATTGCAGTAACGGCAGTCTGGTGCTTATCATGCCTTTAACTCTTTGGCTCAGGCACATTTAAGAGGAATAGTCCACTTTCAGGTCTGTGCAGGATTTGTTTGTTTTTTCTATCTGTCTTAACATTTAGCTGACTGTCTTGGTTTGGCTTGGGCTTTCTCCACCTATCCTGTTGCTCATCTGACTCCCAGCCCATAACAGCCCTTCCAGAACCTGTGTTTTTCTCTCTCGTGCACATGATTGAGAAACTGCAGAGCTTGGGGCCACATACCAGCCTGCCACCTCAACAGCTTGTGCCGGCTGGACGGAGGCTGCCAGTCCAGCAACCACACGGCCGGGTCCTGCTGACACACCCCACATAATTTGTCTCTGAGAGTGAACCTCCCTCATTCTTTCCATGGTTTCTGCTGGCACCACCTCCATCCCTCTGCTGCAGCTCTTCCTCTCCTGCACCACCCACTGCCAGACTCACCTTGGGCTGCCTCTTCCCCACAGTGAGAGCACCTGTACTGTGCCTCCCAGGTGGCCCTGCCTGAGCCTTCCTTCCCCCACGGCTTCACTTCCTGCACGGGTGTTGCAGGTTCCTGCCAGGGCAGTTCTCCCCTGCCTGGGACAAACTGCTTCACAGCACAGTGGGCGGGGGGGGACAGGGATTGGCACTAGATACTGGTGTGGAGAGGCCCACCTGATGATCCGGTCATCGTACTGGTGGATGACCTGTCCTCAGGGCCACCAGTGTGTCACTGTGCAGGGTTTCTCCCTCAGACACTTGTGCTGGCAGCTCTCTGGAGGACAGAGCAGCCACAGCTCCCATAGCTGCAGCAATGCTCCATTGGACGTCTCCCTATCCTTTCCAAACCTAGCCCATCCCAGACTTGCCCTCTGGGTAACCCCACCCTGGAGTTCTTGCCCACAACTCTGTATATTTTATCTAAAACCTGTTCCAGCCTTCTGGGATTCAGGCAAAGGCCATCTGATGCTTGTTTTCAGGCCTGGGGCTATCTGACCTAGAAAGCAGCAGCAACAACTCCTCCCTGGTGCTCTGTGGAAGGATTTGAAATAAGGCTTGCTGTAAACCCTCTGAAATGCTCTGCTTTTGTGCAGACATCGCTGGGGTCGATGTTTCCCCCGGTCACTACGTGGCTGACTAGTTTTAGGAGGGCATTAGAAGAAAAACCTTTCCAAAAGCAGCCACCAGCCACAGAACTGCAGAGAGTGAGTAGTCCCAGCAACTCAAGCCATCCATCACCTCATCATTTCTTGAGGGAAAAGCTTTTTCAGCGTCAGTGGTGTGCCCAGTTACCAAACCTGAAACTGCCCTTTGCAGAGCCCTTTTTGTGGCTGCCACCCCTGCAGCAGACTGTGCAGCTGCAGCCCAGGGAACAGATGCCCACAGCAGTGCAGTTAGCTTGGAGTTGACCTTCCTCTCTCCAGAGACCTGCTGTCTTTTCATGCCTCATTGTGTTGGGCAACCCCAGCCCTTTGTGAGTCATGTGTCCCCCTCAGCGGGTTTCCTCAGGCTGTGTCAGCCGGTCCTGTCACAAGTGTGCCGGGAGCTGCAGGAAGCCTTGGTGACAGCCCTGGGTTACATCACAGAGGTGGAGGACGTTTGGACAACTGGTCCTCGTCCCCGCCGAGGCAAGCCTGGGATGGCACAGCGCATCTGGCACCTCGTCCCGGAGCTGCCTCTGCGAAGGGCAGGAATGGAGCTCAGGGAGGAGAGAGGGGAGCTTAAGTGGGCTGGAGAGGCTTACAGATCATGTACTCATTGCATATCTGACCTGGGTCAGTAGCAGTCACCCTTTGTGTCTGTGCTGAAGAAAGGGTGGATGGATGGGTGAACTAATGGACAGAAAGGAGGGAAGAGAGGACAGATGTAAGGAAGGACAGATGGAAGGTGTTTCATCAGTAAATGTAGAAGTTCGGCCTTGCACAGGTAGTCATCATTATTTTAAATTGCTCCAACGCTCCCATTATATAATTCCATCCTATATGATTAAGACATTTCCCAGCAAAGTTGGAGATTAAGACAACCGATCAAAAAAATATCGAGAAATCTCTGTGCCCTACCCTGGTGGGTGCCAGACTGATCCTTCTGACCCAGTCCCCAGAGGGCATCAGCCTCCTGATAGGAAAAGCCAGTTGGGATTTAGGAGATGAGATGCAAGAGTGAACAGGCACCAGCCCCAGCTGGGAAGCCCCGTTTGTCCGTGGACAGTTGTCAGCGGTCCCCAATGGCCCTGTGACAGTGGCTTTTTCCATTCCGGTTTGTCGGGCTGGTTGTCAATGCCCTTCATTATAACGGGAAGTCGAGGAAGTTGGAGAAGCCACATATATAAGGAAGAGGAGCCAGTTCAGCTGCCTCTCCCAGAGCAGCTGTCATTTGTGTGGTACAGGCAGGGAAATAGGGGTTAACTTCAGGAGAGAAGACTGGCTGATGGAAGTGCATATCCGTCTGGAATAGAAGTGCATATCCATCAGCAACAGCAACAGGGAATAAACCTGCAGGTCGCTGCTGAAAGGGGGACAGTGGAAAGCAGGCTGAGGAATTCTAATAAGGAGATGGAAAATCAGGGAAGAATAGGGTTTAGACGAGGGAAAGAAGAGATAGTGAGAGACTTTTGACTGTACAAAGGACACAGTAGTGAAGTCAGGAGGAAACAGAACCCAGTACCTCTCAAAATCAGTGCACCTATGGTCTCCCAAAAATCTGGAGCTCATTTGGGGTCAGTCCACTCAGCCCCGGTGGAAACCTTAGCAGGAGATGGGAGCATTTAAAGGAGGAAAGGCAAATATCAGAAATCAGACTAGGAATCTGACTTGGGTCATTTCTGCTCCCAACATATTCACCTATTTCTTAAGTTCTGCTTTCTGCTGTGATAGCTGAACGGGGATATTTCATTTCTATTGGTTCACCACTGGTCAAAACTTGTTGGGTTTTTTTTCCAATTTACCCAAGTTGTTTTGTTCCAATGAATTCATATTAAGCATGGGGGGGGGGG